ACAAGATTTTGTTTGACTACTTTTCTCCATTGTTATTTTACAATTTTGTTGATTTCTGTCTTAGTCAGTTTGGGTTGCTGTAACAAACTACTGTAGAATGAGTGACTTAAACAAACATTTATTTCTCACAGTTCTGAAGGCTGCGAAGTCCAAGATTAAAGTGCCAGCAGATTCAATGTCTAGTGAGGGCCCTTTTTCCAGTTTGCAGATGGGTTGCCTTCTTGCTGTGTCCTCAAATGCAAGGGAGAAAGATCATCTCTCTCATGTCTCTTCTTATAAAGGCACTAATTCCATCAGGAAGGCTCCGTTTTCATGACCTAATTAAATTTCAAAGGCTCCATCTCCAAATACCATCACGTTGGGGATTAAGGTTTCAACATATGAATTTGGGGGGGAACACAAACATTCAGTCCATAGCAATTCCTGCTCTTATTTTATTATTTCCTTCATCTAACTGAAAGTGAATACAATGCATACTTTTTCCCTTACCAATAGGTAAAACCCCCTACCAGTGCTTCTCAAATCTGCTTATTATATATTATTTTGGAATGTAGACTCAAGTTTTTAAGATTTCACAAGTTTGAAAGACCCAATTTAAAACTCGGGATATATAATTTTAAAAATTATGTATCTTGCTATCTTTGGTCCTGAAAAATCTATTAAAAACAGATTAAAGGGTCACTTAGACAATTTAATGTTCTTAAATAGATTTTTATAAAATTGTAGGAGTTTTTCAGGGCATCCCACATGTGTATATTTCATGGAGAATTTCTAATCCCTACCAGAAATGACCACTGTTGATACTGACCTATATGTACTGTTGGTTTTATAATGAGACATTTCTTAAGTTTTTATGTCCTTAGTAATATCACTTATGTTCTCTCTTTTAATATATTTTCCCAGAGAACAGTAATTTTTTTCTATCAGTTTCAAGAGAATGAATCCCAACCACTAAATCATTGGGCACAAAGAAAATTTGATCACTTGACAACAGACCAAGACTATAAAGTCAAAAGTGGGATTGCCAATTCTTTTGAAGCCATTTGCTTATAACTTTCACTAAGTTATAAACTTGTCAGAAGAGGAGATGATATCTATTTTTTATCTTGACCATCGTCCTGATCACTATGGGGGTCTATTTCAATTAATGTCAACTGATTTTTTTAGGAATTTCACAGCCGTGTGATATGATCATACTTAGTATTGAACCCAAACCTTTACTCTGAGAGGCTTGGTGACTATAAATCTTTATAAAAATCACTAACCTTGAAGATCAAAAGGCAAGAATGGAAAATGGGAACGCTTTTTACCAGACAATTTTACTGGATTTCTCCCATATTTTTGACAATTAAAAATGCAATTTCTACTATGTAAGGATAAAATTTAATTTAATTTAATTTAATTTATTTAAATATTTTTATTGGGGAATTGGGGGAAGGGGAACAGACAAGTTGCTGTCGTTTTGTTCTTCAGTCTAGTTGTGCAGGACGTTGCTTCACTGGCCCAAGTTGGCACCATCATTGCGCTCTTCCCGGGCGAGGCAGATCAGTCGCCGGCTTCTGGACGGCCGCTCACTGCGGCTGCTGGCCGCTCACGCTGGCTGCTGGCTACACACGGTAGCCCATGGCAACCCACTGCCACAGGGGCTGCAGCCTACGCCGTCGCCGGCAACTCACAGCAGCCCAGCTCCAGGTTGAGCTGTTGTTCAGCATCTTAGCTGTAGAGGGCAGTGTCACTGGCCCTCATATGTGGGATCCGAACCGGGGTCCTCTGGCGTCCCAAGCCAGCTCTTAACTAATGCGCCACTCAGCTGGCCCTAAAATTGAATTTTAAGTAATTTTATTTTTTCCGGCCTCTTCCCAGGTTAAGGTGAGCAGGATTATAATAAGTTTTCTGTAAGGGGAAGAAGGAGAGCCTGGCATTAGAAAAACCTCACTTGAGTCCAAGCAAAGGTGTTCAGAATTGGTGTGACCAGCCTCTTCTCTCTCAAAGCGTGAGGCTCTGCCCTTCTCTATGCAGGCAACGAAGACCCGTTTGGCATCTGCGTCTTTGCAGGTGGCCACAGTATCTGTCTGTCCTTTGTTTGCTGACCTCCTATCTGATTATTAAGATGTTACTTAATGTGTAAAACTTTAACATCTGCCAATCAGAGGTGGTCACGCTCTCGCTGAGACTTGTACCTCCTCCAAAAATTTCAAATTAAAAAACGGCTTTTATCCCAGTTTGTTGTGAAAACCAGGAATGAATTATGAGACGTGCATGACCCTGACAGGCGCTTAAAGAAAAAGCGATGTCTCCTTTTAGCCTTCTGTGTTCTTTTAACCAAAAGAGCCCTGACATTACTGATTTTCCCCCAGAGGCTTTGTTTTTCAAAGCTTTAATCATTGTCATATTTAGAAAGTAGGCGTGCCTTTCCCACACCCTCCCCTTCACTTACACTGATAGAGACAAAGATGCAGTCTAGGGTGTGGCAGAAGGACAAGACAAAAAGCCTGAGGCTTCTGATTAATTCAGCATAAGAGAGGCCCCCATATGGTGTTAAAGTGAGCAAGGAGTCAACACCTGTTGTACTAAGCTGTTGAAGTTTTTTTGTCTACTTTTTAGAGCAACTAGTGTTGTCCCAGCTAGGAGCATACATCATGTTGCCGTGAGGTAGTTCCCCCTGGAAGCCTGCTCACATTTCTTAATGTGCACAGGTTGTCCAGGGTCCCAAATCTATTCTTCTTCCTGGATTCTCTATTTGATGAATGGCTACACTGCAAAACTGGTATTCCTTTTGAAGTTTTGCTTTTGTTTGTTTTGTTTTGTTTTGTTTTGTTTTGTTTTGTTTGCCTTTCACTTATCTTTATCACTCATATTTAGAAAATTATCAAGCCCCATTAATTCTACATCATCAGATTGCTCAAATTCACCCCTTTTCTTTGTCTCATTTACTGCTTCATTTGTTCTGATTCTCTATTTCTCACCAGTATTGCAGTCAGTCCCTTTCTGCCTTACTTTCTTCAGCCTATGCTCAATACTGCTGACAAAGGAACAATTTTAAATGCATAAAGTTCATTATGTAGTATTATTTAAAAAAAATCCTCTAATGGCTTTCTCTTACATTGAGGGTGAAATCCAAACCTCTAGGCTGGGTTATGAGACCAGCATCTTCCCTCTCCAAACAGGAGGCTCTGCGTTTCTCTGTGCCCTGCAAGAAGATCGCTTTGACTTCTGTGTCTTTGCACGTGGCCACAATTTCTGTCTGTCTTTTGCTTGCTGAACTCCTAGGTGATCATTAAGATGTCACTTTATCTGTGAAACTTTAACTTCTGTCAATCAGAGTTAAATGCTTCCAGAATACTCTAAGTTTGCCATGCTCTTGACATATCTCTGCATTATAATTATACGTCCCTCACACCCACAGTGGTTTACGAACCTCTGAAGGGCCAAAAATACTTCTTTTGTATCTCCTTCTCCAAAGCCTAGCTTACAGTGACATGGATGCTTCTCAGTAACTTTGTTTTCCCAATAAATGAATAAAAGTCATGAATGTAGGCAGTTTATGTCTGTTTTATATACATTAATAATAATGGAAATGTGAGATATATATATATATATATTCTTTATATAAATAAAGAATATTCTTTATATATCCTTTATATATAAAGAATATTCTTTATATATTCTTTATATTTATATATGCATCTATATCTATATATACATATGTATGTATATGTATATATATTCTTTTCAAATGAAAAGCATTAGGCATTGATTTTAATCTTCAGTGTTTTCCCCCTTTCTGGAAACTTCAATAAAATAAAAAAGAAGAAAAGAATCCTATATAATGGTACACCTGCGTATCATAAGACACATTTTTATTACCCAGAAATTGTATTGGGATTCATCATGTGATTTGAAAGAGAAACGACATCCCGCCCCCTCACATTGTGTTCTGATTTGAGCTGGATTGTAGCGTCAGGATGGTGCTCAGTCGTCTCCAGCGGAAGAGCTTCAGGAATCAGGACGGCACACCGTCTAGGAGATGGAGTGTTGCCTTCTCAAATGATGAACGCTGAGCATACCAGGGACGCTGTGACAGGGATACAAATAATCTTGTACCCAAGCTTCATGGTTTTTCCTCTAATGTTACAAAAAAATAAATGTTCACTATATATTCACCCTAAAGAAAGGCTTAGGGAGAAATAGGAGATTAATTGATTTGGCCAACTTTGCAAGGAAAAGAAGGAAGAAAATGGATGTTTATCTGTTTCTATGAATGAAATCACCTGCTGACTTGACATGGTAAGTATGTATTTTGCAGGATTTAACTATTTGTAATTGCACTGGTATATAAAATGTGAGATAGATTCTTCTCAAAAGGGAAAAAAATTATTTAATGTATTTTCTTTAATCTTAGATCTTTCAAAATGTATCCGCATATTTAAAACAGTAGTGCTAGAATTATATAGTTTGCAAAGCATTCAGATAAATATAAAATCAGTGGTCTTGCAGCATGTTGTGGATATTGGTAAAGACAGCTAGACTCTTATTAAGATGTTAGTTTTCCATAGAAATATAAAAATTAAAATTTCTCAAGAATTCTTTAAACTATATATGCAATAACATTGGATTTCTGTGGAGGTTAAATTTCCATTTCAGTTGAAAAGTATGATTTTTTCCAATATCATATTTTGAAAATAAATGTTCTATACTTTATTACAATGTATGTAAATGCAATCTTGTAACTCTGAAAAAGCCAGTCATTTTTTTCATCTTTAAATTTATTCTTATGAGAGTATGATACTAGTACTTTTCACAATCTCTGACACTTTTCTTATGTCATTTAGGAAATAATGTTTTTTCTGTGAGTTCTTATAATAAATTAGTGCATCAAATTTTTCTCTAAACAATTAAAGGGTCTTGGTTCAACTAAACTTATTCTGATAATGCAACATTTAATATATTTCACAACTTTTAATATTATTCTTTCTGATATCATTTAATTCTCTTTTCAGTTCTGGGAATCACGAAACAACAGCAACACTGAAACTAGTAGAGCTCATTTCAAATGATCCTGGAGTTGAGACAGAAAGAAAAACAAGGGAAAGAGGGAGGTAGAGAGATTAAGAAAGAGGAGGAAGATGGGGAAGAGATCAGAATAAATGCAGGTAACTAAATCTACTTGCAATAACATGAGTTTTTTGTTTGATATTTATTGAGCTTAAAGTTGAGTTGAAAAGCTTTGATTTTAAGTGTTTTACTGAGCATAAGTATGCTTCTGCAAAATTCCATATGAAATTTGAAGAGATCTAGAAAGTTTCAGATGAAATTTGAAGAGATCTAGAAAGTTTCAGATGAAATTTGAAGAGATCTAGAAAGCTATAAAAACACAGCTTCTGAAAAACCACATAAATTAAATAAATAAAAAGGAGCGTTGTCTTGGCAGGGGAGGAGAAGCTGCAATAAAAAAAAACTACCAAATTTAAACTAATTATGGTAAAAATACCTGAGAACATTTTACATATATTTTATTTATTTATTCATCATGCTGTGTGTTTGGCATATTCAAAAACTAATTTCAGTGTATCACATTTCAGAAAAAGAAAATTGCATTAAATCAAAACACTTTGCCTCAGCTTGACTTTTGTGTAGAGCTGTAGCAAATGTTTCACCAAGATTGTCACCAAAACTGAATTACTATTGAAAGGCTTAGAATCTAACTTTGTTCCTATTACATTTCATTTACTGATAACTTTTGCATATCCTTTAGATCAAGGAGAAGAGAAAAATAAATAGAAATATTTATTTCTAGTGTTTCTAAATAGTGAAATCCTTGGCAAGTGCCTCAGCAATAGCATGAGTATATTACTAACTCATCATCACATGTTTTATCTAGAGCCATCATGAAGGTTGATGCTGAGCTTGGGAGCCAAGATGGCAGCAGAACCAATCCAAGTCATTCAAGTTGCCGTTAATCCGTAGCAGGGTTCCACTGGACTTGACAGATTGATGAAGCCGGAAGAAGTTATTACTTTAACTGTGCTGCTCCATGTTTTCATACCATATATAGATATAGCTGAGAATAAAAACTAAATAAATTAACACACAAGAGAAAGAAGTTAAGAAAAGCCCTGAAACCTTTATGTTTAAATATGTGCAAAGGTGTCCTAAGACATTAGAAAACTCCTTTTATAATTTTTTTGTATTTAAAACTTAAGTATGTTATGATAATCTGGAGAAAATAACTTCTACTCCCAAAATATGTTTGAAGCCTAAGGATCCAGAGCCAGTGTTTGGAATTTACAGTCAGATGTAGTTTGAATTCCACCTTTGTACTACTTACCTGGGTAAGCCTTGGATAAAATAGCAGATTTATTATTTTTAACTTCAATCTAAATGCTTTGTATCAAGTAAATATAACCCTGAAGTACCTCAAGAGCAAAGAACATATTTCATATTTTCTTCATGGCTTAAGTTTTATTCCAAAGCAGAGAGGTTTATCTATATATTTTATCATTATTTAGAGAATTTCTAGAATTTGAAGCAGTGTGATCATTCTTATAAATGTCACAGGGATTCGCTTTCTTCCTCTCACTTAAAGCCTTGCTATTCACCATCGCCCACTGTCTTCATGCTGTACTCATTTTTTTGTATCCATTATTAATGCTTGGAAGGTGACAAGATTCTGCTTATATCAAAATTGCTATTCCTTCATTAACGGAGATAGTTTGCAAGTCTGTTTTCTATATCAAAAGTATTGTTTATAAATGAGCACGCTGCTCAAACTTAAGCAAAAATAAGAAATCATTCATCATAATGTTATATGTGTGCTGTTATGACCTAAATTTTGTGGTTGAAGTTTTACTTCTAAGCAATTTGTATATATGCACATATATATGCGCATATATATGTGCATATATATATATATATATATATATATATATATACGCACACATGTATATATGATATATGAATCTGTGATGCGAAATCTGTGGATATAGAGGACCAACTGTAATTCCACTTATGTTATTTGATATTTGGTTTTGCAGTATCAACATATTCTACATACTGGAATTTCTCTATTATAAAAAAATAGATAATAATAAACAGGGGGGGAAATGTTCCATACATTTGTGGAAAAATATTTTCTTGGTTTTTAACTTGCTTTCAAAAATAATTGTTTTAATAACATAATTCATTATCCAGTATGCATGGTTATCCACTATGAGAAAAATGGAACAAGATGATGATTACAAAGATGCAAGATCTGAATTTTTTTTCTGTCAGAATTAATGTGTGTACAACATCAAGCATGTTATCAAATAATAACAACAACAATAATAATAATAAGCTACTACAAATGAACAATAGGTGTAATGAGATTCGCATCTTCAATGGCTGTTTCTTGACTTTGTAAAGGAGTCATTGCCTGTTTGTATCCTTTAGCTGACCCAAGGAAAAGCTTCTTTAGTTCACTGTGTCAATGGAAATATCATAAGGAAGTGGTTACACATTTTTGATAATAAATACTAGGCATAAAGATCATTCTCACATAAGAATAATAAACATTTTTGTTTTCCCTCTTTTGGCTGCTATCCTCCCCAAACTAAAGCTAAGCAGAGTCAAGTGGAAACTTCCAATCCTTTTATATCAGGAAGAACTTTAGCCAGATTCAAAAGACATTAAGAGAAAATAAACTCTATTTGTTAAGGAATGCTGTGTTTCATTATTTTGCCCAGTGTCTTAAGAGTGGGTGGAACTTGCATCTTTGTTGATGTATCATTTTCTTAAAAGAATAAAAATTGTTCTGGCATGAACAGAAGCATAAGGAACATCAAAAGAAATGAACTGTGGGGTGGCCTTAGCACACCAGAGTTAGATAATGGTCATAAACTTTTCCCTGCCATATGACAAAGTCAGTAAGAGGTCACCTTCCTCAAGAATCATCACCCATCCCCTCACCCTACAGTCACCGCCCCCCTACTATTCTCATCCCCCAACTCCAAAAAAATCTACACTCCTCCACTAGTTAGGATTTAAAAATGCTCATTTCTACAAGTGTTTAACACTTGCAACAATTCAACGTCAAGCCCAGCCACTCCCCACCCACTTGTATCCCCAGGCATAGCACCGTATTTCTGTAAATTAAAATAACTGTGTGTGTGTGTGTGTGTGTGTGTGTGTGTGTGTACATGTGGATGTGTTTGTATTTGCATGAAAGAAACAATTTTTAAAAAGGAACAAAAACTGGAGAATTTTGCATTTTTGGTGTTTTTTTTTGTATTTGCGCAGACCATTTTAGAATTTTCAGTCTCAACAAAACACGATTAAAACAAAGAATCTAGTAAAATATTTGTGCATGTACTGCTAAACAATTCTAGCAATTTTATTAAGCAATACCTTTATTATTTTTTGAATATTCTTAACAGACTGGAACAAAACATTTTTATTCAAAACAAAATATGCATACTGTACGCATGTCGCAGGGTTAAGTATGATGCAGAGGTTAAAGTTTGTTTCAACGAAAAGAAATGCCTGGGGGAATTTCAAAGCTATAAAGTTAATAACTAAATTTTGTTCGCTAAGAGGACCTTTTCTATGGTTTTCCTTCACTTCCCAGCTACACAGCAAACATATCAGAAGTGCACTTCCCAAGTGTAGTTAGAGAATAGGAAGGAATGTAAAGTGGTTTTTTTTTTAATTATTTGTTTTGTTTGTTTGTTTTTTTAAAAACAGCCCTTATTAACTCTTCCTTCCACTGATTCTACTGTAAACTCATAAAAGCCTTTTTTTAGAAAACAAATTCATAGACACTCAGCGGGTGAAATGTTCCCACAAAAAGAAAAAAAATACAAATAGAGCAACCAGATTTCTCCCCTTTTCTTCAACTATCTAGAGCATGTTAGAGTGATAAAGTTTTTGCACTTGAATGAAAATGGCTAACCTATTTTTTTTTTAATCTTCTTTCGTGATGATGCAGAATTGCATACACTTTATACCTGGGATAATTAAAACCGTATGTTGGGGAAATCCTGGAATAAAATTGGGTATCTTGTGTATACCGCAGCTGTTTGAGCATCTCTACAGTCTCCCCCACAGCAATAAAGGAGGAGAAAGAAGCCCGGATTTGTGTCCTCAGTCCCTCTGTTCTCATTACAAGGGCCGAAATGGGCCTCTGTGTGAACTGCAACGTAACTGAAATCTCAATGAAAGCCCGCCTTTCAGGAAGGACTTCCGGCCTCTTCTCGTTCTGATCCGAGGTGGCCACTTGGGGCCACCTGATCAGTGAGGAAGAACTGGGCCTTGGGGAATGGGAGCTGGAGCAACATAGTTCATGGTCGTTTTCTTTGCTTTTATTTAACATAAAAAAATGTGTTAACTGTCTGATTCCACCTAGTGTGGGAAACACTTGTTTGTCCGGCTAAAAGGTACACCCCTTGTCTGCTCCGTTGCGGGTTTGTGCAACAGCGGCTCGGAGTCCCACCAGAGCTCGCGCGCCCATTCGCGGTGGCCACATAGACAGAAGCAAGCGGATGTTGTCTGCTGAGGGGAGAGAAGGGGGTGAGGGGAGGAGAGGCCGGGAAAGGCGTTGGTTCCTTCGGCAGGAGGGGGAGTTAGGGAATTTTTTTAATTTTTTTGTTGTTTTCTTTTTTTTTGTCTTTTTAATTTTTTTTTTAATCATTTTTTTGTTGTTGTTTTTTGCTATACCACGAGGTCATAGCAATCATTCCTCTAATAGAAACTGACAGGACATAGAGACAGAACTATCTGATGAACACACACAATGACTAGAAATATATATAGAGACAGTGAAAAGACTTAGTTTACCTCTGAGAAACCATCCCCCAAAATAAATCCTGTATTAACAAGTGCAAAAAAAAAAATTAAAAAAAACACAAATCAACCCAAAGCAAAACCAAAGCAAAGAAAACCTCCAAACATTAAAACACAGTGTATAAAATGGTGTGAGAAATTGAAGTCACTTTACAGCCTTTTAGTCAATAAAAAGCTGTGTTTGTGTCCTTGTTTGGATTCAGGCCCATCTTTTTCAATGTTACCCTAAAGGCCTTGCGAGAAGTGATTGGAGGGTAAAAGCACCCAGTCTCTGTTACATCTGATAGCAGTCGCGTTTCCATGGTGGGCCAGCTGCTGCTCTGGTGACACTGTGTCCTCCGTGGTTAGTCCTCGTTGGTTGAGCTCTCCTCCAGCGTGTTGATGCCTCCCAAGCTCAGCGCTGTGGCGTTCTGTGCTGCCGAGGCCGTGAGAACTGTATGTAAGAGAATCAGTACGAGAACACACAGTTTGAGTCTGCTGTTGCACAGTCTTGTTGCTGATGAAACTGGGAGCGACGTCCTGTGACAGGATCCACTTTTTAACACCGTCCCTTTGGATGGGTTGTTGGATTGCTCTTCTCTCCTGACATCACAGCATTCTGGTTCATCATTGGTTAGAAAGGTCTCGGAGAGCCCTGCAGGATGAAGAAGGTAGACCGACAGTTAAAAGGAACGGAAGACCTGCTGGAAGGGGTTCATAGCAGAGCGAAGCTGTTACTTTAACGTTCTGATCCACAAAAATCTTACAAGCAACTCAACATTTTGTAAAGGAAAGGAAAGTCAATACAGTCTGCATAAATAGTCAGCCATGCTCACAAACCAGCACTTTTAAGTTCCTCACTTTTATATTCTTGGTGGTCATACCATGGAAGTTCTGGATTGTGATGAATATAGAATAAAAGAAGTCATGAAGCCAAAATCAGAACCTGAGGTTCTGGATCCATCAGTGACTAAGGACATGCAAACCATCATTTTTCTTTAACAGGAATGCGATTAATTAATGCAAAGCATAAAGTAACATCAACTAGTTATGCTAAGTGAAATAACCACCCAATCAAAATAGCATTGCTATAGGAACCATGTTTACTAATCACTTCCTCTCCTAAACCTCACCGTGTCTTACATCCCTCTGTCCTGGTGAATGGACATAACCATCTACACATCCAATGGACGACCATTTCTTTTTTATTTATTTTCTAAGTATGTCTATTTCCAACCTTGTTTCTTGCTATATTATATATAATGTTTTTATGGAGTTGCATAAACCATTTTGTATCTTATTTTTTTCACTGGACCGAAACACTTTTCTCACAGGTGTTAGAATGAAATTTCTACATACATTTTATTATATTACACTCAAGCTTGAAAAATTGAAAAATAAGGATACCGCAGTTGTAAGGATTAAATAAGATTTTGTATGCAAAAAGCTTAGCTTGGTGCTTAGCACAGGTATATATAACTTTAAATTTTGGCTACTGTTAATAAGAATGGCTATTAATAGTGTCTCGTGCCTCCACCTAAATAATAAAATCTAAAATATTTTTCCCCCTTGCTCCAAATTCATTGCTCAATGCTCCAGCCATCCTGAACCACTGGCTCTTCTGAGACTCTCCCCACCCCACCTTTTGTACCACTATCCAAGCTGCTTTTCCTCCCTGGAATATTCTCCATCAACTCATGCACCTACTCTCCTCTATTCTTCAAGTTCAACTCACAGGAAATTCCCTATGCTCGCATGCCTGGGCTGCTAGTGCATTTGGTGTAACTTCAATAGAGCCTCCAGTTATTATTTTTTCTTTTAATCACCATTGCTCATTTTCATATCCATTTCCTAACTTATTTGTCAACTTAAAAGCAAGCACTATATATTTTCAGTTTTGTGTGCCCAATATGCAGCAGAATACCTGAACAAAACAGGTTCTTAATTAGCATTTATTACATGAATAAACTCAATATATAGTTATTTAATTTAAAAAATCTATTAAATAATATACACTGTAATCTTCCGTTTCTTTTAAAGAAATGACCAAGAT